TATGGACACAGATGTGGGAATTGAGTGTAAGAGTCAGGCTTCTCCCAGTCTGTGCGGCCTGAAAAGGGAAGGGAGTGGCTGTGCGGCCTGAAAAGGGAAGGGAGTGGGGTTTGTGGACATTCACCACTGAACCGGGGAACATGCCATCTCGTATTAACTTTACTCAGTGCTTTTGCCTGTTTGTTTTATGTCACCCCCTAACTCATGTGTGTGTGTGTGTGTGTGTGTATGTGTGTGTGTGTGTGTGTACATGTACATGTATGCACTTGTGCACGTGTGCATGGAAGCCAGAGGCAACCTCAGGTGTCATCCTCCAAAACCCTGTCTACATCCTTGGAGACGAGGCCTCTCATTGGCCTGGAGGTCATTCCAGGTTAGATAGTCTGGCGGATGCAACCCCTCTCTGGATTCTCCTGTCCCCTTTCCTGTGCTGATTACAGGAGTATATCGACAAACCTGGCGTTTTCACGTAGATTCTGGAGATCAAACTCAGGTTCTTTAACTCACTTTTATCTTCCTAGCCCTGTCTTAACGCTGTTGCTAAGAAGGCTAAGAACTGCCCTGTGGGACGAGGCTGTTAGCAATCTCACTAACTTTTCTGCCTCATTCTGAACATTCAGTGGTTTGACCTCTGGTCTCATTTTAGCTCATGCCACATATGTACTAAGAACTCCCCTGTGGACAGACAGAGGGGCAATGACCTTGTCTGTGAGACCTGGACACCAGGGATGAGACCTGGTGGCCTATGCTAGCTCCAGAGGCGCTTCCTCCCCCCACCCCCTATGTAACAGGCCGTTCTGTCCCTCCACTGGCTTACCTTTATCCTTTGAGAGTGAGCAAGAGTGACCAGATGGCGTCCAAGAGCCCCTCAGACTCAGAACAAATTGGATCAGAAGCACCAAAGATTCTTTGGGATAAGATGTAGGCTCTCAGTCAGGGGTCCCTGGGGACATTTATACTATCGATGGTGTAGGTACAGATGTGGGTTTTGTGAGGATTTACGGAGTCTGTTTACCACACATGCTCCTGGGAACTGCCTAGGAGGGTAGAGTCCATTTGGATATTTGCATAAACTCTACCAGCCAATTATTCTATTTGTGTCTTGAAAATTAATTAACTAACCAAGTGCGTGTGTGTGTATGTGTATGTATGATCATGTGGGCATGTGAACATCGAAGGGCAGATTGCAGGAGTCCCTTCTCTCCTTCCACGATGCGGCTGTCCCAGAGTTCAAACTCAGATCATCACTGGTACTCACTGAGCCGTCTTGCTGGGCCACTTTTGCTCGTTCTTAAACACAAAAGTCTGAAATCTGAAAATCTAAACTGTGAACCATTTTGGAACACTGAGATGCCCCTGAAAGATTCTGTGTTCTCCAAGCACACAGGCCTTTGGCACATGGTAGTCTTGTTGTCCAACTTATAAATAACACACAGGCCCTTTTGGCTTTTGTGGCCTGGGGTGCCACAGTCAGTTCACATGGCGCCCCATGAAGTCACAGGTAAAGGACCTGAAGCTGCAGGCCCCACACGGTCCAAGCTTCTTAAAGACCATGTTTTAGAAAAATAAACCAATTAAATAATACTACCTCCTGTAAAAGCAGGCTTTTAATGGCTTCCACGGTGTGGCGGGTCCTGGTGAGCTTGTCTGCTGCCGTGGGGGGGACTTGAGTCTTGCACAGCGTGGGTGTAATTTCACACAGTTTATGGTCGTGTTCGCCCCTCCAAGTGCTGCAGAACCATTGTACAGAAGGAGGACCTGCGTGCCCTCAACACCTTACCTCCTTTTTGGTGGAAATGAAAAATGAAGTCATAAATTAAAGAAAAACACAAAGAATTTCTCCCTCACCTTCCTGGGGCAGGCGTGGAGGAACAAAGAAGCAGTGTTTTCCTAGACAGCCTAATCAAATTCTAATGGCTTTTATGTGTTGACTTTTGCTCAAAGATCCCTCCTCCCATGGGAAGGCCTCTGGGGTTGCAGGATCTGTGCAGAGCTTGTATTGGAGACCTGGGCTCCAGGGCAGGGGATCTCTAAACTCCAGCCTCAGGGTCAGACCCTGCCTCCTGCCTATTTTTGTTAAGCCATCAAAACAAGCCAACAAAGGAAGCTTATTTCCTAAAGCAGGAAGATTCAGTGAGCGTCAGATTCCTGTCCATAAACAAAGCTTGCTAGTATGCCGCGTGTCACTCTTCTTCCATTGTTCTTTGACCCAGTGGTGGCACGGAGCTAAACACCGCTTGTCCTTTCCAGAAAATGCCTGCTAGCCTTGTGTTAGGAAGGCAAGGAAGGCAAGGAAGGCCGGCGGGACACGTGGCCCTTTGCCCCAGGAATGGATGCTTTCCTTTCAGGGTCTCTATCCGAAAGGGTCTAACGGAAGAGTCAGGAGAGAGGCAGTTCACCTGTTGCTTGTGACAAATATTTTTCACTGTGTGTGTGTGTGTGTGTGTGTTTGCAAAGGCCAGAGATTGATGTCAAATGTCTTTCTGTGTCATGTGACACCTTATTTTCTGAGACCAGTCCTCTCATTGAACCTAGAATTCTGCACTTCAGTTAGGTTAGTTGGCCAATGAGCTCCAGGAATTTCATCTCTATGTCCCCAGGGTGGGAGAAGTATCCACTTGTGGACAGTTGCCACGGTATCTGGTTGGTTTTTTTTAAAAAATGTGGGTTCTGGGGATCTAAACTAAGGCCTTCATGCTTCCACGGTAATCGGTTTGTCAAATGAACCATCTCCCAAGCCCCAGGCTCCTCCCTGTGTCCTCAGACTGACATCTGAACAGCATCCCCCTTCATCTACAGGCCTCTTAGACTTTTGACTGTGTCTTGACTGACGGGTGGCCAGTTCCCACTCAGCCCACTCGCTCAGTAGTTCAGGCAGAGAGGTGTTCCCGTCTTTCTACCACCAGCCAGGCAACATCAATCGTAGATTGCTATGCGCAAGTCTGGTGCATTACCTAGAATGGCTTCAGAGACTTGTAACTGTTGCCAAGCACATTTTAAGCAGTCTGCATGGTAACTTGTTCAAGTTTCACAACCAGTCCAGAGAGATTCTCTTTCAGCTCCCTTGTACAGCCGAGGAAGCAGACAGGATAGAGAGGGTACGGGATTTGCTTGAGGTCACACAACTGGTACATGGTTAGAGCCATGATGATAATCTGGGCTGTCTGGTCCAGGAAATGAGGGACTGTGCACTTGGCCACCCTACACACCAGAGAGCTCCCTAGACTTCTGGGTGGCTCTGCTGTTCTTGCTCCATTAATATTCATCACGATGGTACTTTGTAACGAACGGTTTGGTGTTCGAACAAAGCCCTGTTCATGAGTTCTTCTAACCCACCGTTCTTCTTCTACCCACCGCTCCATCTCCCTCGCCTTTTCTCTTCTCCCACCTCTTCATCTCCTTTCTCTCCTCTCCCTTCCCTTCCCTTCCCCTCCCCTCTCCTCCCCTTCTCTCCGCTCTCCTCTTCCTCTGTCTGTAGTTACGGGTTAGTGTATAGTAGGCGGTCATGGACTTAAGGTGTTTATGAACAGGATAAATGAAAGAAAGGGCTCATTTCTCTTGACCAGGATTCTTGGCCCCCTCACCACAGGGCGAGGTAGAGTTCTAATCCTCAGAGCAGTTATAAGTGCCAGCTCTTTCCAGGAGCACAGACCTTCATCCTTTTTGCCTCAAGTTGATATTTTAATGAAAACAAACATTGTAGAAGACTTAGGAGAGACTGGGCTTTTGCCTTTACTGTGGTAGGGTCCTTTGAAAGTGACTCACCCCATTCTCAGGAGCCCAGGTCCCAGGTGCCTGGAGGAGGTAGTGTTGCCCGAGGGTGATGCCTGCACACTGAGTGACATGACACAGTCAGCACACAACTGTGTGGGATCAGAATAGAGGTGGAAGTTCCTACCACAGCAACACCTGCGCTGTGGAAACATCACAGAGCCGCTACAGCAGGATGCTCCCAGGCCTTAGGTGGCTCTGGTGTAACTACATATACTGTACCACAGTTCTCTAAAAGCAAAACGTGTCCCATCCAGGATATGACATGAGACAATGTGGATAGCTGTGTTGCTAGTTTGCTTTTACTTTCTCCAATTTTTATCATTACTTTAGAATGCATTTCTTCCTATGAAGATACAGTAATGGCTAGTCTTAGTCAGCCTGACATACCCAGAAAGAGGGGAACCTCAGTTGAGGGGTTGCCTCTGTCAGGTTGGCCTCTAGATATGTCTATGGGACATTTGCTTGCTTACTAATTGACGAGTGGAGAGCCCAGCTTACTGTGAGTGGTGCCATTCCTGAGCAGCTGTCCTGGGTGGTGTTAGAAAGCAGGGTGAGTGAACCATGGGAAACAAAGACAGTCAGCACTGTCCCATTATGTGTCAGCATCTATTCCTGCCTCCAGGTTCCTGTTTTTCCCTTTTTTCCCTTCATAATGAACTATAAGCTGTAAGGTGAAATAAACCCTTTCCATTCCAAGTTATTTTTCAGTTCTGGCCTTTGTTACAGCAACAGAAAGCAAGCTAGAAAACTAATGCTCACAGTGACAGTCTTCCGTCCCTTGCCTCAGCAGCCTCATCACGAGGCCTCTGTGAACAACCACCTCGCACCTTCTCAGTATATGTGATTGTGTCACCTAACGGTGCAGTTCTCAGACCACAGCCCTGTTGCTAGGTGATGTGAGACTATGTTCCCACACCCCAGCCAACCACACTTGTTTCCTTGGGTACCCTCATGCCTTCTGAAAGTGGCTACATCTCAGTGTGCTTTAGATGCTTATCTTATTTTCCTGTGTGCTGTAGAAAGCTTTTTTAGTGTGGTCTGTGCCGCTGGGGTGTGGGGACAGAACAGCGCGGGACTGTTGCAGCTGGGACAGCAGTGGGCTCTTAGCTAGAAACTACTCTTTCCTCTCTGCATCCTGTTTCTTCCTCCCTCCCGGATGCCTTCTCCTCTGTCAGACAGCAGACCTTTGTAGCTGTTTTCTGACGAGCTTTGCTTTCTCTCCTCAGTCATGCGGAGAAATCCCTTCGGTGTGGACATCTGCTGCCGGAAGGGGTCTAGAAGCCCGCTGCAGGAGCTCTACAATCCCATCCAGGTAGGACCCTGGTCCTTGTTGCTATCAGTGTGTTCTGGGGATTTGAGGTGCCCTCCCCCACCTGACACTTTACCTTTGGTGATTGCCTTCACATTCAGCATCCTTAATCTGAAACACTCCCAATCCCAAAACCTTTTGAGCAGCTGCATGGTGCCACAAGTGGAAAAACCCACATCTGACATAAGGAGATGGGTCACAGTCAAAATGCAGGTCCACTGAACTACTGGTCAGAGTTATCTTGTGCCGATGTATGCAAGATGAATATGCAGTGTAAATGAAGCATGTGTGTAGACGTGGATCCTGTTCCCAAGATATCTCATTATGCGTGTACACATAGTCCAGAAATCTATGGGGGAGCCCACACATGAACCATTTCCTGTCTCAAGCGTTTTGGATAAGTGTAGTCTAGGAACATTTTGTAAATTTTAGAAAAAGTTGTGTTTAAGAAATGTGGAGACTATACTTTTGGCCTTCCTGGAGGTTGGGTCTCTGGGTCTACATCATCCTAGGTCCTAGCATTGGGACTCTGAACTTCAAGAGCCTATGAGCCTGTGCAGCCCTCCGCTGGCACCCCCAGAAAGGCGTGCTCTTGAATAAACTCCACATGGAGTTACTGAGACCCAGCGACGACCACGCTGCAGAAGACCCCCTGGGCAGGGTGTGGATGTAAATTGTTGGTTGCTGGTTTTTTGGTTGATTAGTTTAACAAGGTGGCAAGCGTGGGGGTGAGGGTGGGGAGTGGAGCGTGCCTTCCATTGGAAGCGAGGAGCAGTCAGGAGGCCTGGTCACCATAGCAATAGCCTCAGGCCACTTGAGTTGGCGTGGAGATTCTTGAGCTGGTCCTTCTGTAGGAATGTCTGTTAGTTAGTGGTGCTCCTGATGGAACGCCCATGGACCTTAGTAATGGCTGAGTGCGTGCTGAGGAGAGAGGGCCTGCTGGTGATCTCAGGGCTTCACTCTGCACTCCATTCTCAATTTTGTATTTCCATAGACCATGGTGCCTGGCCGGAGAAGATAGTACTCGGATCTCAGCGAGGACAGGTTCCTAGAGTCCTTGCAAAGGCAGAAACTTAAAAACTCCTGTGTTCCACCTTTTCTCTCCAGCCTCCCACTTGTGCTCCCTTCTGGGGAAGAATAGGACTGGAAGTCTGGGTGCCCTTGGTGACCTGATGGTGCTCAGTGGTGCCCTATTGATTCTCTGTCTTGGGGCTCTAGGTGTGACTTGGACAGGACATATAGGATTGCAAACTCAATGTCTCTTGAGGCTTCCTCTGCTGGCCTTTGCAGAGAGAGACTCAGTGGGGATTTGATATTTGTGGTTCCTTTGCTGGCCCTGTGACCTGGCCGTTGTGAATAAGTTTCCTAGCCTGTCTATTTTGTCATCATTACGATGAGATCAAATCAGGCTTTGACCACGCATAGGATTTCTGATATGTTCTATTGATACCTACCCAGAAACCATCCCCTGTCTCTGGACATCCTGAGCATCGTAAGATGCAAGTGCAGAGTGGTTTCTGCTGTAGCTGACCTTCTGGGTAGAAAGCCTGTGGACTGAGTCTGGTTTACAATTTACATCTGGTGCCTAACACTGGACCTGGTTGATGTCAGGGGTCCCCAAGGATTTGTGACTTTTGAAAGAGTAAAGATCAAGGTTCAGGTTCTCATTTCCCATGTATCTAGCTGCGCACACCAGAAAGTGTGACGAGCCTTCTCGAGGTGCCCATTTCCCAGCATCCCTCTGGAACTCTGGAGGATGACTGTATGTGATCTTTCACTTTCCTCGACTTCAGAGTCAGACTTAGCGTCAAAGTCCAGTGACACCATTTCCTAGCTCTGTGACTTTGCACAGGCTGTATCACCATGCTTTGACTGCTGATGTCCCTCTTATGACATTCTGGGACTCATATCAACTGCTGGATTCAGGAGGCAGTGCGGTGACCTTCCCTGCTGGCTGCCCGCTGCGTGAGGTTTGTGCTTTCCTGGTTTGTTCACTCACTGACACCCTGGCATGTCAGATACTGGGCATAGAGGGTACTGAAGCTAATATAGGCACCTGTGACGGGTGCTTACTCTGTCCCAGGACTGCCGTGCATGGCCCTGTATGGTTTTTTGGCAGACCAGTCAAAAGAGAGGTGACTATACCATCCAGTGTCACTCCTCCTCACAGTGGTAGTGAGTGTTGTATTAGTGAAAGGTACATTTAGCTCTGCCCTTCACAGGGGAGGGCTCTGAGAAGTGAGTCACTGTCTTTTAAGGGCATCTTGGGCACACTGTCTGGCCTCTCCAGCCCATTCAGCAAACGCTCTTTCAGGAAGATCACCCCATTTCCTGGAGATATAGTCTCAGATTTTTTTTTCTGGGTCTAGTTTCCTTTACAAGTGGCAATTATGCCCCATTCCCACGCAGAGAACTTAAGTAGTGCTTGTTTGTGAAGATGCAGCCAGCCCTGGTTAGTGGTGGGCTGTGGAGTTAAGAGAAGGGGGCTCACACACTGATGAGCTTAGCGTTGCCTGCCTGAGTCATCTCCAGGCTTGACACCAGCCTGAGCTCTCCTGCACTTTCTCATAGTTTCCTACCAGCTCAGCTGCTGAGCCTGGAACCATGTAGTCACTGAGGCAAGTGGCAAACTCTCTGATCGCTCTAACCTGAACGGCTCCCAGAAATGGTGCTCGCAGCTTTTTTTCTGGGTGTCTCTTTGGTCTTAATAATAGGATGGTAAAAACAGAGACCGTTTATTTCTTACGACAAGAAGTTCACCTCACAGCAAGAAGGCACCTTAGTTACCTCGGATACATACGATAGGCCAGACACTTTCTGGGTCTCGGATTCAGCTCACTGGATCTGCATGGTGAGCTCTGAGCTAGATGACATTTCCCATTTTATGGATAGAGAACTGAAACTAATAATTGTGTATTATTTATTTTAGCCTAGATCACTAGTAGAGGCAGTGAGGATCCAACCACAGAAAAAACTCCTCCCAGTCTGGGAAATTGCACCCAGTTACTAGTGACTGGTGCTGGTGTCTCTTACCCTTGAAATCTCCTCGACAGGGACCACCCTCCTCCTGCGAAGAGATGTATATCCAACAAGGCTTTCATTGGATCCAAACCAACCAAGGGACAGTTGCCTCTACTCTGACTTTGGCATCCAGGGCTTTCTTAGTGTACTGAAAACCCCAAACCATCCAAAGAACAATTGGTTAAAAAAAAAATCCTTCACAGTTGATATTCTTAGCAAAATAGCACTGTATTGTCTTATAATTTTCCTGGTTCTCTGCTGTCTCCTGGCCCCAAAATAAAACATAATTGCTGATCGGATCAGCTGGCGCCGAGTCACTGAAAGTTCAGGAGTTGCCAACCACAGGCCTGTGGGCCAAGCCATCTGCAGGCTGCCCCCACTCAGTGCTGACCCACAGGGCAGAGAACTGCTTTCAGCTGGGTGAGAGGGTGTAATTGTCCCTGAATGCCATCGAGGGCGAGACAGCTTGTGCTCCTGCCTCCCCACCTCCCGGTCTCTCATGGCTTCCCCGAAGTCTTCTATCATTCCGAGGTTTGGCCTGCTCTGCTCTGGCTTTCTTTAGCATGTGTGCCTGCCCTATTATTAGAACATTCTAGGGGGCAGGGTGCATGGCTCAGTGCTGGCCATGAACTTGTAAGCAGCATAGCTCGGTCTGAATGGAGCTTCCTGGTGTCCCTGGGTCCAGATGTTTAGAGATCCAGAAGTGTTCTGGGTAGTGTGTTACTGAATATGGGTGAAACTCTGAGGTCCCACTACCTCTGTCACAGGGTGACCTCTCAATGTGCTGAAGTGAACTTTCTTCTCCTCCAGGGGTGCACAGGATTAAGGATAGAGTGAAGAGGAAGGAGAACAGAGACAGTCGGTGTTTACTGAACATGGAACACACATCTAGGACTATTTACACATTTTTCCAAACACAGGTCAATGATCTTACTTTTGTTGGGTTGGAGATGGAACCCAAGGCTCCTTGGACACTGAGCAGCCATTTTCCCTGTCAGTGAGCCATGGCCCAACCCCTCACTGAGCCTTTGCAATGCCCCATTCTAGATGAAGGTCTCAGATAACTCCATTTTCAGAAGGTAACTGAGTTTTTAAGAGGCTGCACAGTGTGCTAAGATCATGTACTACCAAACAACAGAACCGAGCCTTTCTGACCCGGCTAGCCTGTAGGAGGAGGGGGCCCTGGCACTTCTCCTCCAGGTAGAAAAGAGCTTCCAGAAGGATCTCTTTCCTAATAGGTCAAAGGTGAGGCATGGACCCAGCCTGGGCATAGGGCTTTGGGCCCAGATAGAAATCTGTCAGTGGCCAGAGATGAGGCCATGCAATGGTGTGGAACCCACAGTAGATGTCCTGTACACAGTGGTAGCTGGCAGTTTCCTTCCTTCAGAACCTGGTGTCTGGACAAGGCAGGGAGAGGACTTCGTGTCCTGGCTTGGAGCTAGGTTAAGCAGAAGTCTCCTCTAAGAACTCTGCTGTTGGATGGTGGGTCTTGCTCCTTAGAGGTGTCCGCCCACTAAAATGACCACACGGATAGAAGCTACCGTGGTCCAGGGCTGGAAGGAGCTCGTGGATATGTTCCTCACCCCGACCTGGGTAACACTTTCTGCAGTGCTCAGCACATTTGGCTGGTCTTACGGGTTCTTAAAGAATAAACCGAGAAAAAAGGTCTCAGAAGAGAGATGACAGGGAAAGGTGAGAGGAGATGTAGTGTTAGCACCCCTGCCCCCAAATCCTGCACACAGTGGGGATTCTAAAGAGGAAGATGTCCTTGAGCCAGACCTTTGAAGACACGTAAGATGCTAGGAGAGACCAGCATTGTGGATGACAAGAGCAAACAGCGAGGGAAGGGCCGCAGTGTTCACATTTAGAGTCAGGAGGTACTGGAGCGGGGTTAGAAGGGATAGGAAAAGCACTTAGTCCCGGGAAGACTGGGTCATAGGCCTCATCTAGAGAGTGGAAGTGGAGGTAGGTGAGTATCAGGG